TAAGTTTCTCTTAGCTCTGATCCGGGTGCGCGAGCAAGACCCGGGGGGCGGGGGCGGAGGGGGGTGGTGGTGGGGAAGAAGACACTTTTTACCCACAATGCTTTGTGAGGACGTTGACAAGTGGATCCAAGATGGCGTAGAAAGTAATGACAGGTAAGTCAGGACTTCCCTATTTTCCCGCTAGGAAGGCGAAGGACAAGGGGTCTCTGCCGGGGCAGGGACGGGCGAGAAGCCCCGGAGGCCACCGGAGAAGCGCAGGGTCCTGCGGGATTGGGGGAGGCTTCTGTCCCCGGGAGAGCGTGAACGGTGCTGGCTGGAGAGGGCCCTGTGCCTGCGGAGGGGCCTGCAGAAGTCGCAGCCTGGGGACTGTTTACACGGAGGCTCCGCCGGGGTCCTGGGGACGAAACTGCTGCGGGGGGTGAGCAGGTCAGTCGGTTGCGAATTAAGACGGATTCGGGTCCTAAGTTGGCAGGCGAGCGATGCTTTCAACGATTTGGAGGGAAGAGGCAAAACCCCCCCTGGGGGCTGGGATGTGTTTTTCTGATTTTTTTTTTTTTTTTTTTTGTAACGAAGTCTAAGACTTGCCTCATGCGAGGCGAGCGAAGGAGGAAGCTTTAAAGGGCGGGGGTAGTAAAACGAATTCCTCGAGAATCGTCTGGGCTTTGTGAGGCTGCGAAACGAACAACTCTTAACGTTTAAATTGAAAGATCCCCTCCCCTCTCGCCACTAAGAAGCAGGCACGTAGGTATGCCCATTCTATGAAGCAGCACTTATTGGGTCCTGAAGTTGGAATTAAATAATAGAGGAATAGAGATTTTTTTTTTTTTTAGATCGAACATTTTGGAGACACAGCTGAGTTGTGAAGGAAATGCTTAGATTGATGACCACAGCTTTAATATGAATTCCTTTTTAGGATATTAACAAAGATATCTAATAAAAGAGAATATATGTATCTCACAGTTGAACTGTGGAGTCCTTGGTGCTCTCTGAGCTTGGTTGTTACAACCAAGCTCAGAGAGCACCAAGGACTCCACAAAGACATCTGAAAAAGTTAATATTTAAAAGCAGTTGCAAAACATGATAGTTAATTGCATAGGGAATAAGAAAAGAATCTATCCTGTCTGTATATCAAAGTTACTGTTTTTATATATTATTAATATATCAGTATATTAAATATGTTGATGAAAATACATGTGCAAAGAAAATTTCCTAAATGAAAAAAATACCAGTTTTTTAAAATTGGAATTTGTCTTTTGGGCATGGTTTTAAAAGCAAATAGTTTCACAATATGCAGAAACTTTTTGCAAACATAACTTTTTCTGCAAAACAATTTATGACTAGTGATTAATTTTCATTAAAATGAGATTATAACTTGTAGAACCAAAGCTTGAGAGAACAGACATCCACTATTACAATCAAATAGGAGGAGATGACCTTAATGTTTGAAACTCAACATCTTCAGTGATATGATTGATACCATTTAGTCTTTTGCAGCAGAAGACCAGCAAATGTATTACTGTGTAAACTTTCATGGATCATAACCCATGTCATCAGATTCATGAATTGATTGAAACCTGCATTACAGAAACAGTGTAAAGGATTTAAACATTACCTTTTCAACTTGTTCAATTTTGATTTAAATCAGAAGATTCTCCAGACTTTTTTACAGCATAAAATCAAAATAAAGGAAATATATTTAACGTTTTTCTTAAGGCTGCAGCTCACACCTAACTGAGAGTATATAACATTAAATTAGTTTGATCTTTTGAGTAAACATGTTTAGGATTATAGTGTAATTATTGTTTTGTAATTAAAAGGAAATGTAGAGACATAGCAAAAAGTATATGATGTTATTCCATTAGTACAATTTAAAATTATAAGAAATTTGTGGGTAGTGTTATGTGAGGGTGGGAAATGGAGTATTGACTACCTATTCAACTGTTTTGGAAGTGGAAAACTTCTCTTTTGACATCTAATCTTTAATTGTAAGGGGCAAACCTAATTTCTAGTAGATATAACTAGTATTTTTAAAATAGGTATCTTGTATTAGAAAAAAGAAAAGGCTTAAAACATTAGTTAATTTGAATTTGCTCATAATAGGTAATAGAATTTTAAGAAGAAGCAGAAAAATTCTTGCAGAAATTCCCAAATTTAAAACTGAGGAGACTAATAGTGGGATTACTTTTTTATGGTAAATGATGGTCTGTTTTCAGGACATTTAGTGCAATACAGCTTTTTCCTTTGTTATTTATAGATGGTGACCAACCCATAATCTTCTGTGATCTTTTCCAACTTTTGATGATGATTGTACTACTGCTTATATGTTTTATGAATCTAAAGCCCTTACATTGGTTGTATAAACAATATCTTATTTGCAATTTACCTGCACACAAATTTTGATAAATTTATGGATAAAACATGCAACAGTGCAACAAATGCAAATATATTATAATGAAAGAAAATTATTGTCATATAGTTGTAGAACTTTAAATTGTCTAGAGGGTACCAGATTACCTAAGCGACACTAGATGATCTTGGCAAGTTAATGTCACATCTATAGTCTCTACCTCCAGTTGGGGCTGAATATATTAATATTGATCTAATTCAGAGAACTGGTGTAAGGATTTTGAGAGAATATATAACATTCTTTCAAAATGTTATAGTTATATTATAATAACTATATATATAACTATAATTCTAAATTCTAAATTATAACTAAATTATAATTCTAAAATAAGTATAATTCTCTCAAAAATATATAACATTCTGTCATTCTCAAGCAGAAAACAATCAAGGAACTACCAAGGAGACAAACAAGCAGACAAACAATCAAGCAGAAAACAATACCCTAATCAAAACCACAGCCCCGCCAACACTGGCAGGGCAAGCTACTATATATAAACAGGGAGCAAACCTCACACTCGCTAGCACTAATGATGTTATCTAGCCAGGTAATGAAACATCTGCAATCAAACAACCAAGCTCAGAGAGCACCAAGGACTCCACAGTTCAGCCCTGAGCTATGTATATTCTTTTCTATTGATATATAACATTCATTCTTTATGAGGTTTTTTGAACACACAGAAGTACTTTGCAAGTGCTAAATATTTTATTGCCTGTTGTTTTCTTCAGCATAAGAAAATGCAGGACCATTTTAAGAGATACCACTTCTGCTATCTATCTATCTATCTATCTATCTATCTATCTATCTATCTATCTATCTATCTATCTATCTATCTATCTATCTATCTATCTATCTATCTATCTATCTATCTATCTATCTATCTATCTATCTATCTATCTATCTATCTATCTATCTATCTATCTATCTATCTATCTATCTATCTATCTATCTATCTATCTATCTACTTACTTACTTACTTACTTACTTACTTACTTACTATCTCAAGCTCTGCCTTCTCACTCCCCCACCCCTGCCACAGCAGCAAGAATGTGAGGTAGGTTGGGCTGAGAGAGAGTAATTGGCCTGCAGTCACCCAGTGAACTTACCAGGCAGCTTTCTTGTTTGCTTTGTGATAAAAATAAGTTCTGAATACATCTTAAAGAAAAGAATAAATTGAGGCCCAAACATTTTATGGCCCAAATATTTTTACTTTGAAAAAATTAAAAAGTACTAAATGCCCAGCTTATTTTAACTTGTAAACTCCCACAGAGAGAATGTGTTCTGTTTATTACAAAGAGCAGTTTATGAAGAAGAATGTTTTTTAAGCTGTTATCCCTTGAATACTAACTTTCTGAGGGGGTTTCTGAGTAAACTAAAGCTACGGTTTTAAACCTACTTATTGGCTATGGTCACATAGTTAGGTTCACACATGATCCTCAGCAATAAATCACAGTTGAAAAACCACAGAATCTGGGTTAAGATAGGATACTAGGCCAAAATCAAACAAATCATATCTGTGATCCCTGCTAGTAAGAAGTAAACCCAGTATATACAGCAAGACTTCTGTTTAAGTGTGCACAGTGTTGTATTGCAAGAAATCCTTTTTTTAAAGAAAGGAGTATTTAATCTCATTATGACTGGGGAAGATTTTCAGTTAAAATCATTCAGGCATATGATGGTCATCACTCAGCTTGAATAAAACTTAACTTACTAAGTCCCTGTTTGAGATTTATTTTGAATTGAGAGTGATTAATACATAATATGAAAGATTAAAAGTATTCCTCAAGTATAATAATTTTCAAAGTTCATACATATTTTTCTAGTTTTATAAATGTTAAAACTGAAACAAAATACAGCTCTTTTGCTGAAAAGATTGTTTTCATCAGTCAAGAGAGCTCCATTTTTAAAATTACATACAGCATCTCCATTCATTATGACACAAGTGACTGTGCTAGAACCACAAACAAATTGGTCCGTGGCAAATATTTTATCCTGAAATGTTACTAGTAAAGAGTGTATCTTGCTCAACCTATCAGAATTAATTGAGTTAATAACATTGTGAATCATCAGTGAAAAATACATACTGTAGAGTGGAGTGTTGCAAAACCCACACATTCTATATAAGTTTCTAGTATCCATGTTTCTTCAGTTCCTTCCTGACATAAAAATGTTTATACTGTTAGTGTATGTGTCCACTTTTACTTATAAGTATGCTTATCCTATGGAGTTTTTCAGCCAGATATTTTTAAGAACTGTAGTTACGTGCTTTTTTGGGGTGGGGTGACTTTGGGCCAGTCACACTCTCTCAGCCCCTGATGTCAGGCTCAGGTGACAAGCTGGTCGGTCAATTCCTGTTGCAACTAATGGATCAACATTTATTTGATCCGAAAAAAGTGGACCCTGCACCTGCGGGAAAAATGCTAGGAAGAAAAAAATAATTATGTGCTTTTGCCAAGTCTTATTGTAAATCTCTTATGGAGGAATCTGATTGTGTGCCATAGCCCAGCCAAACCTCTTTTGCTTATGTTGCCTTTTATTGTGTTGCCAGGCAATATCCCTCCTAATATATAGTTCTTGTATTCGGCACCTCACAATAACAAACTCATCTAACTTTTTTGGTTGGGAAATACAGCTGTCTTATCATCAGTGTATTTTTCTTCCCACTTCATTTAAGTGAGTGCAGTAAGGAGGAGGAGAAAATACAGTTTTTGGGTGTACAGTTCTCACTTTTGTACCCCCAGAGTAACATATAGGAAGCTCTGTTGGCTATAAAATTAATAGTCAATAATTTACTTCACCTACTCTTGACTAGTGACTCATGGTGTGTCTGCACTTGAATAGGCTTTTATGGAAAAGCCTCAGAAGGGGTATTCCAATTTTAATGTTTTCCCAATTGCTGTTTTCTCCTAGAATGTTATTACTTCGTATTATTTAAGGAAACAATGTGTTCAACTGCTGTGCTTTAATCACAATCTATAAGTGTGGATTGTTTAGTGATTATTTTACCCAGATCATGGTCCAGATGTTATCTGAGCCTGGACTGGTGACTAATGTACATTTAGGCAGCAGTTATTTTTTCAGGAGAAAAAGGTAAGGAGCAGAAGTGGCAGAAAGAGGCGGTTGTACAGCAGTGACATCACTGCGCCTGTTCTATGGGATTTTGTTTTGAAAAGATAAAGGCTGGGGAAAGGATTATTCTCTGTTTTACATTGTGTGGATCTGATTCCCCCTGGCCATTTTTTTTTTTAAATGTTTTTTTGAAGAATAATTCTAAAAATCCAGGAATTGCTTACCAATTGGGATACTAAGCAGAAGGAGGGAGGCTGGCAAGCCAAAGCCTG